TCTCTCTCTCTCGTCCTCTATTTTATTTTATTTTTCATCATCGCCATACAAAACCCGCTGGTCCTCTTCCTCCTCCTCTTCTCCTCCTCCTCCTCGTCTCGTCTTCTTCTTCTTCTCTCCTCCTCCTCCTCCTTTCGCCTTGTCCTTCTCCTCCTCCTCTCGTCTTCTTGTTCTTCTCTCCTCCTCCTCCTCAACCTCGTTCATCATCGTCTTTTTTTTCCCGTCATCCGCATACAGTACCGGCAGGTCCTCCTCCTCCTGCTGCTCCTCCTCCTCCTCTCGTCTTCTTCTCCTTCTCTCCTCCTCCTCTTCCTCTCGTCTTCTTCTTCTTCTCTCCTCCTCCTCCTCCACCTACTTATTCTTCTCCTTCTCTCCCCCTCCTCTCCTCCTCCTCGACCTCCTTCCTCGTCGTCTTTTTTTTTTTTTTCCGTCATCCACATACACTACCGGCAGGTCCTCCTCCTCCTCCTCCTCCTCCTCCTCCTCCTCCTGCTGCTGCTGCTGCTGCTGCTCCTCCTCTCGTCTTCTTCTTCTTCTCTCCTCCTCCACCTCCTTTCGTCTTGTCCTTCTCTCCTCCTCTTCCTCCTCTCGTCTTCTTCTTCTTCTTTCCTCCTCCTCCTCCACCTACTAATTCTTCTCCTTCTCTCCTCCTCCTCTTCCTCCTTCTCGACCTCCGTCGTTGTCTTTTTTTTTCCGTCATCCACATACACTACCAGTAGGTCCTCCTCCACCTCCTCCTCCTCCTCGGCCTCCTCCTCCTTTCGTCTTGTCCTTCTCTCCTCCTCCTCCTCCTCCTCCTCCTCCTCCTTTCGTCTCCTCCTCCTCCTCATCGTTCGTAGTTTGGTTTTTCTTCTTCTTCTCCTTTCTTCTCCTTTCTTCTCCTTTCTTCTCCTTCTTCTTCTTCTTCTTCTTCTTCTTCTTCTGCTTTCTTCTTTTTCTGCTTCTGCTTCTTCTTCGTAGTCGTCGTCTTCTTCTTCTTCCTCCTCCTCCTCCTCCTCTAACCCCTCCCCTCAGCGGACTGGCTGCTGAAACACACCCTTTTAAAAACTTGTCAACCCCCCATCTCCCTCCTCCCCTCAAACTCCTTCGCCCTCCCCCCGGCCACACCCCCAACACACACGTCTTTCACAAGTTTCTCTGTGGATTTGGGCTCCTCTCAGCGAGCACAGTCCAACCCCATCTTCAAAAAAAAAAAAAAAAAAATTCCTCGGACATTTTTTGGCTCGTCTGGTTTTGCCGGACGGACCCCCCCCGGTTCGTCTGGCCCGGTCCGGCCCGGTCCGTCTGGACCGGGCGTCGGCCTAACCCAGAATTCGAGAAATTTTCAAAAATTTCAGAAATGTCCGCAGAGGAATCTTCAATGGTCCAAGAGACACCACATTTGGCACACAGCAACCTTGAACCAAAACAAAAAGTCAGAAACAGGCCAAAAAAAAACAACAAAAACAGAAATCAGAAGAACATAAAATTTTGACCCCCAAACCCTCATTTCATTTTTGGACCCCATTGCCCAGGAGCTGAAAAGTTGGGGTCCCCGTTCACCATCTGTGCACCCATTGTTTCCTCAACCATTGTTGTTGGCTGAGTTTGGCTCCACTTTCTTCCCATCACGACACCGTATGGGCCTCCGACGAGATCTCTCCCTTGGAGTGTTCTGCCTCCCTTGGGCTGTGTCTGAGTTATGCCAGTCCCTTCATCTCAGCCTCATATCATGGATGTGTGCCCACCCCCCTTTTTTTTTTTTTTTTTTTTTGCCACCTTGCCTCTAGCTAACCAGACTCTTCTGAAATTCGCCAACCATACCCCTTCAGTGTCCAGGTCGCTTTGAATTGCACCTTTGACTGTTCGCCATTGACACAGGATTTCCACCTCAATCATGCTCTTCACATCCATCCACACTTTGTGATGTTAATCCTTGGTGTTCTCGAGCATCCTGCCGCGTCTCTCCTTTCCATATAGCCCACAGTGTTTCTGTGCAGATCAGTCCAAAGTTCCAAACCACATCTTTTCAAGTTTGCCAAATGGGATGGGATGGGATGACATGGCATGCGGCCGTGACTTCCAGAACAACTGGTGTGTTTAAAAAGAAGAGTCTATCTCATGATAGGCAGCTCGCCCACGTCTTAACTCGAGAAAAAGACGATAATTTTTTTTCTCGTAGGCTCTATTTTTACCACAGCTTAACTAAAGAAGTTTGCAAGTTTGGCTTGACTTACGTAAGTTCTCCTGTTGATAATGGTCCCCGTGGTCGAGATGTATCATGTTCACCTCAATATCAATTTTGTTCAGCCTGCAAACATAAGCACATCACAATCCACAACCCTCAGATTCTCTATCGTCATCAATACTCCTCATAGGTTGCCTGCCCACCCATTGATGCCAGTTGGTCCGAACCCATCCCACATGGAAAACCTGGACAAGCCAGACAATTGAGATCATATGCTTTTCAGCCTTCCCGAGAAGCATATACAGCCGCATTCAGATGTTACGACGGGGGGGTTCGGGGAGCGAGGGTCAAACCAACCCAGTACCACCACCCAGCTACGTGGTGTGCACCCCCACCAGTCAACTAGGACCCATGAAAAGGTTCGGCCCACCCGACCACAAAGGCTGGCGGAACCAATAGGCCCTTCCCAACAGAACTCTTGGGGTAGGCCAAATCGTGCGTCAAGAAAAGAGGCTCGGAGAAGTGGGACACAAAAACTCGAAGGAACCTTGATAGGGGGTTTAGAGAGGGTTAAGCAAGACACAAGAAGTCCACTGTTGCTGCCTGCTACAGGACCTTTAGTACGGGTTTTAGGGTTTAGGGTTGAAGGGGTCACAAGAGCCTAACTTCTGGTGCCCACTACGGGACATTTTTGCAGGGGTTTTAGGAAGTGCTCTAGGGGTCGCAAGAACTCGCAGAGATGCTCATACTTCATAACCGCTGCCCAGAACACCTCCGTGTGGTCCCGAAAAATGATTCCATAGCATATGTTGCTTAAGTACACATACACGTAATTCACAGTCGCAACTTACCTCCACCGCTTCGTGCTCTGCCTATAGCAAAGAGCAGCCTTCTTGATTAGCACAGGGAGGCACCGCTCAATTAGGAGTTTTGCAATGTGAACAAATCTTGCTCGTGCGGCTGACCCCCCGGGTAAAACGCAATACAGGAGGGCAAAGGATAACCCTTGCCTCCTTCACACTCTTCCAGGTAGTGCGTGATGGTCGATTAGACCTCACGGCAAGCTGCACTAAACTGGTTTGACTTACAGGTCGAACTACCAGAGTGAAACTACCTGGTTCAGCCTTATCAGAGCTTACCAAAGCCCAATTACAGGTGGGCAAGCGGGGGTCAGGTATGTGAGTGGCTGACCGGGTGCAGACCTGTATCCGCATCTCAGGGACTTGGGCACTAGAGTTGCCCCGATCGCAAGAAGTACCTGGATGCTATGGAGCCTTGATCTGCTTAATGCTTGAACCCGGCCTTTTGAGTGAATATATGGCCAAAAAACTCTCAATCGGGTTGGTCCTTCGGGACATCCGTTAGAGTTCGAGCGATACAGAGGAGATTAGCATGGCCCCTGCACAAGGATGACACGCACAAATCGAGAAATGGTCCAAGCAAAAAAAAAAAAAGACGACCATTTCTCGATTTGTGGCGTTCCAATTTTGCCGTATGTCCCGAAGTATACACGACAAAAAGAAAACTCTCAATCGGACATCGTTAGCAATTTCGCTGACGGAGTTAGGAAATCTCTTAGACATGTGAAAAGGAAATGCACCCAAATATGATGTCAATTCTCCTATGCTCCCACTGGCAGCATGAAAGAAAATGAAGGAAATCAAAAATTCAAATCATTCAAATCACCGATTTCCTTATTCCACACAAAAGAAATCTGATACTATGCAAGTCCTATCTTTCTTGCTTGGCATTGGTTTTCAGCGCTGTCAGGAAAATTCAAAATATATGTATATATATAGTCAAACAGAGAGCTGCCCGCTAGACCGTAGGCAGAGAGGGAGAAGAAGACAACAAACAAGGGGCTGTGACAAACTGTTTCCTCAGAGTTTCACCAACTCCTATATATATCCTATATATATTGTCACATAACTATGAACTAAAAGAGCGCAATTTGCGAAACAAACGGCAAAAATAAAAAATTGAAAAAACAAGACAAACATGAAGGGCACAGTGAAACCGTTCATTTTTCTCAGTCTTCTTTTGACTCCCCTTTCACCGTGCCTCTAACGTACAAGGCTCGCCACGTTGATGAAGTTGAGCGCGAGCTGGCCCCATCCCCGTGTGCCATAACAGCCCACTTGTACGCTGTGAGAAAGAGGCTGAGTGAAGGGGGAGGGGATAAACACAGGGAGGAGAGATGGACAGCAGACAAACAAAGCGCGATAAAGGGAAAGTAAGGGAAAATACTAGGGTACCTGTTGCGGCTACGCCCGCAATAAAAATGAAAAGTTTGCCAAGAAGTTTATGGACTCTCTCTCTCTCTCTCTCTCTCTCTCTCT